AGCATGTTCCTCCTAGATGATATTAGGCAAAATTGCTCTAAATCCAGAGAACTTGATACTAATCTATTGTGTATGTGTGTGTGTGTGTGTTTTCTTTTTCAGGAAGAGTTACAGAATATAAAAGTAAGCCTTTTTTCTATTTCATATTTCTGATATAATTCAGTCTCTTATAAAGTCTGGGGTTATGACTCTACATGACTAGAGCCTCAGATTTTGTATTACAGAGAATTCTCTCAGTTCATTAATGAATTTTCAGAAAATAAGATTTCCAATGACTCAACATGTTGTATCTACATGTCTCCAGAGGTTACTTGTAGTAGGTGTTTCAATACCATTAAATAAGGTGAAAGAAAAAGGGGTGGATGACCTTTTCCTCAGCCTTTCAAAAGAAAACTGCCTTGATAAGGACTGCAATGTCATGGGATTTGTCATGGGAAATGTGGTGGCTTTAGAGCCTGATAGTCTCAGAAGTTGTTGTTGTTGTTGTTATGTGCCGTCGAGTTGGACCTGATTCATAGCAACCCCTCTTTGGGTTTCCGAGGCAATATCACTATGGAAGTACATTGCCCAACCTTCCTGCTAAGGAGTGGCCAGTGGGTTTGAACTGCCAGCCTTCTGGTTAGTACTCAAGTGCCTTAGGCACTACACTACCAGAGCTCCTTGTCTCAGAAGAAGGATTATCAAAAGGAACTTATAGTCACCAAATGCCAGACACAAAATATTAAAACATATGCGATTTTTTATTTAAAAAAAAAAAAACTGATAATACCTGCTAAAAAGGCAAGGAGGCCACATCTTCTGACCTCCTCTAACCCCACAAGAGGAAGACAGAGTCACTCTCAGTAACCCAAGGCCTATTCCTGCAAGACCAGACATGCTGCCTCCCTCCAGCTCTTACACCAACCATTCCTCACGAAGCACCCAAAGCCTATCTGCCGGGTTCGATAATTCACTGCATTGGCCACAAAGAACTCACAGATTATGGGGTTTAGTTTATTAGAGAAGCATCAGGCTACAATTCAAGTTCAGGAAAAACACTCAGTCTCTCTCCCAGCCCACCGTCCCGCAGCCAACAGTCTCTCACAGTCTCTCTCCCAGCAGTGCGTGTCCCTCGGTGTCTCACTCAGCAATACATGTCTCTTGCATCTCTTTCCCAACAGCGTGTGTCTCTTTCAATAGCACACCTTCCTCAACCAGCAGTCAGAGAGAGTTCTGCCTCTAGGAGGTCTCCTTTTGAGCCTGGCAGAGTGGCCAAACCAGCCAATCATAGCATCAGAATTCTAAGCACCTTGAGGACTAAGGTGCACCTGACACAAGCCATGATATTTCCAATCGCTTCGTATGCATGTGAGAGCTGGACAATTAATAAGGAAGACCAAAGAAGAGTTGATGCTTTTGAGTTGTGGTGCTGCGGAGAGTGCTGAAAGTACCGTGGACTGCTAAAAGAACTAACAGATCTGTCCTAGAGGAAGTGCAGCCAGAATGCTCCTTGGAAGCAAGAATGGCCAGACTTCGTCTCACCTATTTTGGTCATGTTGTCAGAAGGGACCATTCCCTGGAGAAGGAGGTCATGCTTGGTAGGGTGGAGGGTCCGACGAAAGAGGGGGAAGCCTTCAATGAGATGGATTGACACGGTGGCTGCGATGATGGGCTCAAGTATAGCAGGGATTGTGGGGCTGGCACAGGATCGGGCAGTGTTTCGTTCTGCCGTGCATGGGGTCACTACGAGTCGGAAACGACTCCACGGCACTTAACAACAACAACAACGACAACGAGAGAAAGCCACCTTCCCAGAACACTGCTTTGTGCCACGCCCAACAGAAATACCCCAGGTGGATAACATTTACAATCAGGAGCTCACAGGAAATTCCACCACAGAGTTTACAAAGACTTATGGCTAGAAAAGCCATACCAGGTAATTTACCACATTGCAATACCTAAAAACATAACAGTTTATACTTTATACAATTCTCTTGTCAACTGACTTATTGTAAAATGTTTCAGGCTTGAACACTGTGTGAGGACTCAGCACTGTCACTTGTGCAAAGGATTAAAGTCATATCCTTCCCTCTTGATTTAATAATGTCAGTTTTAAAAAATATATGATTCATTTTAGGGGGCAAAGTTATTAAAACTTCTTATTCATAACCAAAAACCTCAAGAGAATGAGTCACTGGGCATGGGGGCTTAGGAACATAGTCTCAAGGGACATCAAGGTCAATTGGCACAACATAGTCCCCAAAAGAAATGTTCTACATTCTGCTTTGATGAGTAGCAACTGGACTCTTAAATGCTTATGAGTAGTCATGTAAGGTGCAGCTATTGGTCTCTGTTCTGGTTACCTAGTGCTGCTCTGACAAGAATATACCACAAATGGGATGGCCTTAAGAAACAAGAGTTTATTCTTAAAATTTGGAGGCTTTAAGTCTAAGTTCAAAATGCCAGGCTTTAGGGACTGTGTGAAAGCTCCTCAACGTTGGGGTCCAGCTCTGCCTCCTGCTCCCGGCCCACTGGAGCTAGAGGCGTTTCTTCACTCAGACAGCTGCTGGCTGCTGAGGCTGAGAAGCCCCAAGGTTGACAAGTCAAAAGGCACAGTCCCGATGTTACCAAATCATGCAGCAGGTCATTAACTTAAGTCCATTGTAAGTCCCAAGGTCGGCAGAGCATAGCAGGCTCCTAAGCAATGACATTGCTTCATGCAGGGTCCAAGCGTGCCACAGGCTAGAGACCATTCCCAAGGCTTCTCCTTATATACAGGAAGCAGACCACATCCCAAAGGCAGCTAGCTACTCAGTTGCTTGTGGTAGATCCCATCATGG